GAACTAATAAAAAAAAAAAAAAAAAAAAAAAAGGAGTGAACCACTCCAAGCATGGATCAGCAGGCATGATGGAACTAGGGGTCTTCCCAAAAAGTCTGAATGGATCAAATTCGCAAGTGCACTCACAATCTTCCCACACTCCCTGGCCAACAGGCACTCCTGTATCTGCAGCTTCAGCTCATCGATCTCCTTTCTGGCCGTTTCTTCCTTCTCCGCTGCTCGGTCGTTACTTGCTTCTATGTCAGTTTGTAACTGATGCATTTGCAACAGGACAGCTTCATGATCTGGGAGAGGAGAGACCTGCTTAGTTAGTATCAGGCCACCAAATGAAATAGGAGTTACTAATTATTATTTTTTAAATGAAGTAAGTTATAGTGCCCTCAGCTCCTGACCTTTTTGCCTTGCCCTGCCGTAAAGGCAGACCAGGGAATTTAAGCCGTCCAACTCTTATCTTTTATTTAATGTTCTGTGCAAAACAATTGTTTACAAACAGTACAGCAAGATTTGTTATTTTACGGTGTATAAACACAAGGCTTTGATTTTTAAAAGTGGGTTTGTTTAAGGACACAGTAGAGACACTGTCCAACTGTTACTGAAGGACAGGAGATTTTGAAAACCCTAGTAGACTAAATACGGAAGAGAAATCTAGATTCACTACAATCTACCACGCAAATCCAGAACAAGAGACTGTACTGAGACACAGCCCAGGGGTGCAGCAGACTTGTTTGATCTAACCTTGATGAAGCTGGGTTAGTTCTTCCTTCTGTTTCAGCAGCGTATCGCTTCTTTCATCAATCAGCTGATCTTTTTCCTTTATTAAGGACGCCAGATGGGAAACCTTCAAAGCAGGCAAACAAACAGGAGTCATTAAAGATATAAAACCAGGAGAGGGCACTGAAAGATTTCGACATACCTCAGAGGTTCAGATTTGTTTTTATTTTTTTTTGTGGGAAGAACTGAAGAATTCTTTTATCAGTGACAACGGCAATGGCTGGTAACTACACCCAGCAGGGGTGCCTGAGCTCTGTGCCAGGCAATACAACACACCTTGAAAAAGTGGTTTGTGCAGCATTAATGCTACAGAAAACACAACGTGGATGTCTGTGCTCTATCCAGAGACTGACAGAGGCATCACCTCTAAAATGCTGACCCCACTGCAAAGAAGAGCAAACCAAGACTACCTAGAATTTACATTCGGTTACTGGATGCAACCTTCTGCCGACCAGGAAAATCACAGGGACAAAGATGCGATATAAGCACAGAAAGAAACAAGAGCAGAACGAATAGGTTTCTTTAAAACAACCTGCCAAGGAGCCAATGGCTCAGGCTGGCCCACTCGACCTCTGCACCATCCCACAGATTTCAAGGGCTCCAAAACACCAGTCGCCTTCCTTCTGAGCAAGGGTATTCACTTGCCACTGCCTGGTCTGCCCCGCAGCTGCTCATATTCAGCTGCTGTATTTCAGACAGTGGGTATTAACCAACCTGCTGTTGTAGCTCCTCCCTCTGCTTTCTTGTTTCTTCCAGTGCTTTGGCAATTTCAACGCTAACAGTCTCCCTGCTGCTCAATTCATCCTGCAAACCAGAAGTAATTCAGAGGTTACTTGGGACAACTAAAATCAAGACAGTTTCTCCTCTTTAAACCCAAATCCTCCGGCAACTAGAATTCATGGGTGCTCTGACACCCCATGATTTATGCTTCTAAATGAGAGTTACGGTTTTGTTTTACCGCCCTCCTGCTCTCCGCTTGAAGTCTCCATCACAAAGAAATAGCTCCCTCCTACAGCTGATTTTTATTCCAATGGTACATCCAAGAGTAGCTACAGAAAAAGCTCTCACCAATCTAAAATCACAGTCAAACGACTGTAACTTTTAACTGCTGTTTTGAATGCTATGAGTGGAATTCGATGTTGAACTATTCTGTATTCATAACAGGATTTAAAAGCTCTTCATGCCTGACAATACGGGAACATATTATTTCTGCCTGATTTAGGCAGACCCAAGCGTTCTGTTTCAGAAAAGGATCAGCCATTCATAATGCTCCTCAAACGCATTTCTACTGAGTACCAAAAATGATTTACAGCCGTAAGCACACGCAACATGAATGCGATGGGCCTCCAAGCACTGAGAATGCAGAACGCTTTGCTCTTAAGGGTTTCTCAAACTCGTCCCCGCGTTTAACCGATGTCACTGACCAGCTAAGCTCTTACCTTTAGCCTGCTCAACTCAGATTCTTGTCTTTTTAAAGAACTCTCGTACTCTTCTCTGCTTCCATTAAGATCTTCTTTTTCCTTTTCCAACTGGCTCTATAAAATAAAGACTGCTTAAATACTAAGTACAACTATTCCAATACTTTGCTTAAACAACTAAACACATCAAATGCTTTGTTCATATTTAGTTTCTCAAAGTATGAGAGCTTCTACGCTAGGAGTGCCGAGCAGGAACATTCAAAAAACATGCAAGCTCCGCAAAACACGTTAAAAACATTTTGTGAGGATTCACAGGGCCCACCCAACAGTTTCTGTACTTACAATCTTCTGCTGAGTAGCTGTTTTGTCGAATTCCCAAGCTGTTTCAAGAGCAGCAATTTGAGACTCCAGCCCAGTAACTTTCTGGTCGTATTGATGCTTCTCACTTAAAATCTGTTGCTGCAGCTTACTTCTTTCATCCTCTAGATCAGTTTGCTTAAGAGGAATAGAGAACATTACGTTACTAAAATGGTATTTTGAAGCTCTGACAAGAATGTTGCCTATCGAGGCGTAACGACGTGGTTCAAGGAACGATACGGCGACCGACTCCGGGTCACTCGGGCCATCAGCACACTGACACCAATGTGGTGGATGGCAAAATGGCGTTTATTAGTATGCAACACAGTGTTATATAGCCTTGATTTACAACGTAACTTCCGTCTGCTTACGTTAGAAGCTATAGGGAGGGGATTCCTTGTCTATCCGTACAACGCGATATCTTCCGGCCGCCGGGCCCTTGCTACCAACATTTCCCCCCTCCCTATGCATTTGCTTAAGAGGAATAGAGAACATTACGTTAATAAAATGGTATTTTGAAGCTCTGACAAGAATCAGACACTGCCTTGTGAGACATATGGTCAAACTGAAGCAACACTACTCCTTTGATAGCAGCATCACGTACTCCCATACAGACACAGGTTTGGGAGACAGCAGGAAAAACACTTGAGTATAGAAACATGCACAGAGAAGCGACTTGTCTCTGGAGATGCTGAAGACTGATCTACGACTGGTCAGTGAAACATCCTACAGGACACTCACCAGCTTCTGGATCTTCAGGTCCTGCTCAGCAGCTGCTTCTTTGCTCTTTTTCAACGTTTCTGTGGCAATCTGTAGTTTTTGTTCCAGTTCTTTATTCTAAAATATAACCATACATTAAATTCCTTATCCATTGGCACCTACATTATTAGAAAAAAAATGCACAGAATGTGGGATGACCCAGTAGGAGAAGGTAAACATTAAAACTATGAAACCACAAAGTTCAGAGAGACTGCCTACTTGACACATGCTGCTTTTAAAAACTCCTCACCACACCACTAGCCCCCAGCGATGCTCACACCTCAGTTCTCTGTTTCTCGGCACAGGGAAGACACACACCAGATCTCTAACTTCTTAACCTCCAGGCCCTTCTCTGCCACTGATGACCAGAGACATTGTTCAATCAGACTTTCTAGACTAGACGTGATGTTCAGCCTCACCTCTGGCTGAGAGCACGAGTGCAGTGGAGGGCACAGACACAGGGTGTGTAGAGGCAGGAAACAGTGGGAATTTGTCCTGAAATCAAAACCTACTTACCTGTGCTTCCAACCGGTTCACAGTCTCGGTGTGATGCGTTCTGTCTGTTAGGACCTGCTGCCTGGTTTCATCCAGTTTCTTCTCAAGAGCAGCTTTCTGAAGATTCCATTGACATGAAGAACAGGAGGAAGGATGGACAAAGAGACAAAAGGTTTTTTTTTTAAATTAGGATTTTTCTTTTGATTTCATTACTAGGGTCAAGCTAAAATGGAACAGTTATTGCAACGTGCAGTGCAGCTTTGCTCTTGGGAACCCACAAGCTTGATTCTACTGCACAGGGCCTCCACAGATCATGCTGCCCTGGAAATGACATCATTGATATTATTAAGAACGGGAAATTCACTGGCATCCTGTCATGATCCAGATGTTAAACTGGCAGCTCGATCATAGTTTTCTAACTCAGGCCAAATTTAAGGGATTACATTTTTTTTTTACAAGATTAACTTCTGCATCGCAGCAAACACACAAAGACAGTAAAACATTTGCTAGCTATGTTTGCAAGTCACGAGAGCAGAAGACGAAGATCAAGGAAAAGTGTTTGCTGTTCTCCACGAGGACTAGCCAAGAAACCTCTCAAGTTGTTCTGCCTCCTCTGGGGATGTTCAAAAGCTGCTCTTTTGCTGTGAGGCAGTCAGATGCATTATATCATATATCGTTTCCATGTGGGAGAAGTAATGTACATCCTAAAAAACTCTCTAAGGTCGCAATTTTAAGTCGTCTGTAAATGTATAATTACCTCTTTGAGTAGCTCCTGCATGTGTTCATCCCCTGAAAGATTTCTTTCTAGCTTTTTCTCTAAGGACGACACTTTTTCTTGCAGCTGTTCAGTAAGTGTATTTCTCTCAGCAAATTCAAAAGTCATCTGTGAGAACAAATCACAGAACCTTTCTTTCAGCAAAGCTTTCAGTTAACCCACTGAAACAGACCCACTGTGGTCTGTTTTTTAAAAAAGTAAGAAGAGAGAAGTCTTATCTGAAAAGCCAGTATGATCCTAACACATCTCCTAGACACCAAATTTTAAACTCACAGTGCATTACCCAAATGTACAACTTCACACCAGCCACCAGCCAATGCAGCTGAAAACACTTCACCTTTTGCTTGTGTTGTTCATATTCCACCTTCAGAGAGTCGTGCTCCACCTGTAACACTTCCAGTCTCTTCTCACAGCCAGAACCAGCAACTCGAGCCTAGAAATTTTGAGAAATTACTTGCTTTGAAACTTAGGTTTCCAAACACACATAACTGATATCTAATCTAACTTCTGCAGACAAGGAGCTCTTGGAATCAAATCTCACTTAACTCAAACTTACATTTTGCAAGTCTACAGAAAGCTGCTGAATGACAGTTTGTAGCTCCTGTTCTCTTAACTCCAGAGCAGTGATCTTATTTTCTGCATTTGTCTCAGCTGTCATTAGTTCATCTCTTCACAGAAAGAGAATAAAAAGAAGTGACATACTGGTCCAGTAAAATAATCTTTAGCAGATAATTCCACTGGTTATGAGAACAGACAAAGCAACAATAGGATTTTCTTGTTTTAGAATCAGCCACTGCTTGATTACACATTTTCCCAAAAGACTGACAGTTAAGCATTCAAATCATGAAAACCAGATTATCATAACAAGCCTACAAAACCCTAAACAAGTACTACTTTAATCATCTTGAAATGAAATAAATTGGCATTTACATCCGCACTGGCACAACAGAAGCAACTATGCAGCCAACTCCCTACATGTAGAAACTCTCCCAAACAGACAGAACCGGGCACGAGGTAAAAGCAAAGGGAGAACGCCCAAAACGCCGCTGCCGCACCTCTGTGCCTCCAGCTCCACCAACTGCTGCCGCAGCTCCCCAAGGTCTTTCCTCAGGCCCAACGACTCGCTGCTCGCCTCCTGCAGCACCTCTTTAGTGCACGTGAGTTCTCGAGTGCATGCCTCTAGTTCCTGCTTGGTTCTGCTCAGAGACTCCTCCTTTTTCAAAAGCTGAAGATCAAAAGGTTATCTTTGACAACAGGGACGACCCAGTAACACTGATAAAGCCTCTACATTGAAACTCATCTTTTTTATTAAGTTATGAGCTGAATTAAATGAGCTGATAAGTAACTCCCAGGAAAGACACTCTTGAAATAAACCATGTAATATTGTCTGTGTGCACCTATTTTCCCAGGATTTTGACAATGACCAACACTGTATACATCAAGGCTAAAAAAAATAATGCAAAGCTACCACTAACTTGGTATTCTGACAGAAATTTTGGGAAAGAAAAAGAGAAAAGTTTAAAATAATCTTACCATGTGTTTAACTTTGGCAATTTCCTGCTGCTGAAAGCCCTCCAGTTCATCAATTTCATCTCTTTTCTGAAAAAGGTTCATACTCTGCTGCCTCATCTCTTGTAACTGTGCTTCGAGCATTTTTTTTTCCTGATAGCAAAAAGAGAAGGAATCCACGAATATCCGCGTGCTCATTTCAAGTCAATGAGATTTCAGTTAAACTCTCTGGGAAAGGAATCTTGTTGTGCAGCCGTAAGGCGCTCTGGTGGTGCAACACACAGAACTGAAACTCTCCCACAGTCAGGTCACAGTAGGCAACACGGAGCAAATTACTGAGCTTGAAAAATCTCCCAAGAGAGCCCAACTCCTTACAACACAGCAACGATCACCTACCTGAACTCTTAAAAATGGACAGCAAATAGCAGCATGTTTAATGTCTTCCTATTCTGAGATACTTTAAAACAGACTAAGCTGGAACAATATGAGACTGAAATCCTGTACTGAAAAAAAAATCCCTACCTAAAGCTTTGTTTATTTTATGAAACAGAGGACACACTGCACGAGCTCAGCCAAAGTCACCACCTCCTTCCGCAGCCCAGCTGCCTCCTCTGTGAGAAAGGAAACTATTGTTCCACCTTGCAGAAGTAGAGCTTTCTCATCGTAACCCATCGCTCTTTACTTCCCCACTGAAAAGTAATTCCAAAAACATCTCCTGAAGCACTGGGGCCAGTAGTGAAAACAAACGTTTGGCCTCTCCCACTGAATAAAGATTAAATAATAAACAGGGCTGAAGGAGGTGAGCTGTAGGAACTGTGCAGAAGTTTACAAATACACATAGATATATCTGAAAGAAAAAAAAACACAAAAAAACAACCCAAAGGTTAATTACCTTTTCAACTTGGCCCAGTCTTTCCATCCACTCCTGAACAAAAAATGAACGAGAAAAAAAAAATCAAAATCAATTTGTAGACTTTCAAGGACAAAAATTATGTTTAAACAAGAAAAAAAAAGTATCTGTATTGTTAACAGAGATACTAAGTTGTGGCAACAATTAGAAAAATAAGCAGCAAAAATAACTGCCAGGGTTTTAATGTCTAAAGGCTGAAGAATCATTTACGCTACCTGAATGCATAAGCTTTATGCAAGTGAAATACAATAAAAGCGACAACAGGTCCACTGCAACTGGATCTTACCAAACACAAGCGCAAGCTTAACCCCTTGTTAGAAATTGTTCTGGGCTCCTTTTGAAAACAGTAAGAACAGTCAGAACAATGACAAGTCCTCCACCACGCCTGGCGTTTGAACTTCATGCCCCCTTCTTCCCTTGGCGGCGGCGCGCGAGGCACACGCGGTGCCCAACAACCGTGACGCTTCACACACGGAGGCCGCGCGCTCAGCACCCTGCAGAGAGACAGCAGCCGAGCGCCCGGGCTGCCTTACCTGGTCCTTCTTCTCCAGAGCCAAAGCCATTCCCTCGGCCAGCTTGGCCCGGCTGGCCTGGTGAGCTTCGTTCTGCTCCTGAAACTTCCTCATGGAGGCTATCAACAGAGAATTGCCAGCTATATTAAAAACTCATCTTTTACAATCGCTTCCCAGTTTTCTGTAAGTTATAAATAACTTTAAAGAGTAATTAGCCCCATCTTGACTCTCTAAGTGCCCTGCCACTTCTTGCCTCAGGCTGTTTGTCCACCGGACAAGAGCCAGAAACGACCTAAGGTAGAAATACTGTTCCTCACTACATCATAAGGAAATGTACTTCAACAAAAAGTGTCTCCCGCATGTTAGCCCCAAGTTTGGCAAAAGGAGTTTAACAACTACTTTGTTCAACTGCCGACACACTACTGCTGCTTTTTACGCTGTAAATAAGGCAAGAACCTGTGTTCTAATTCTTCGCAATCTAGAGGTTTGAAAGATTATTCAAACAGCTGAACATCAAATCTGTTTTCTTGCAACCATAACCATTTTCCACTTACAAAAATTAAAAAAAAGGGAAAAGAAAAGTACGTACAATCCTGATGCTTTTCTAATGCATTTTCAAGCTTCTCCTTTATCTTCTGCAAGTTTCGGATCTGATCAGCATAATCTTGTGTGAGGAGGGAGAACCACAGACCAGGAATGAACAGACATTGCGGGAGGAGATTTTTTTTTGGGGGTGGGGGAGGAGAAAAAAAGAAAACAGAAAAAAAAAAAGAAAAAAGAAAAAAGGATGAGTGGAAAATGACAATGATTTTCTCAATCAGAAAATCATTCTTGCTGAGGAACACTCGGGTGACCATAACAACGAACACAAGCAAACAGTTCTGCGCCGTCCTTAGGGCAGAGGGTAGGTACGAACAGGAGGACCTGTCCTCGGAGAGCCGGCTACACACAACAGGGCAACACCAGAGAAGGAAGAGCTCTCCCCACTTTCTGCTTCATTCAGGAGCAGTGACCTGTTCCACTCTGTTTGGGAAGGGTCTCTCCCACTGGAGGATGTGAGGACAAGGTGATTCAAAACACACACACACCTTGGAGGAGTTTATGTACAGAGGAAAGGAGGATTTACTCACTGATGGGGCTGATCACACAAGGATCTTGACCCTGAGAGCCTCCCTCGCTGGCACTGAGCCCCAGCCAGCACTTCTAAGTTTCCCCCGTGCACAGAAGTGAACACTTTGCCCTTCCAAATTGCAGGGCAGAATCAGTTCTGAATTCTGTCTTTTCTTGAACTGAACCGGAGCGTGCTAAGTCTCCAGACAAACTAAAATAAGCCCAAGCTGGCTATAACCTTTCCTTGTTCCCCAAGGTCGCCTACAAGGCAGCGCAGCACCGACCAGCCTAGGCTCTGATCTATACGACAGGGGTGGAAAGCAGCGTCAGAGCAGAGCCCTTACGACAGCTTTACAGAACAAAGTATTACTTTAGAAAGAAAAAAAACCCTCAATACTGTTTCATGTTGAATCCTTCGCTTTTTCTTAATTTCAAAGTTAATTTCTTTAAGGATAGCACTGGGCGACATCAACATCAGAAAGCTTAGGTTCTAAGAGTAACAAACCATTGCTTACACAGAGTAAGTAAAAGCGAGGAAAGATCCTGTTTGAACCACAGGGACAGAAAGCTATCCCGGCTGCTCAAAAGAATCACAAAAATGTGTGCTGAAAGGAGCAGAAAAGAATCACTGGTCTTTATAAATACCACTCATACTGGATGCTACCGAAACAGCAATCAACGGGACTATTTTCAATCAGTTTTCAAAAAAAATCTAAGCCCACGTATTTTAATAACTTAGAACGCTTAATTTTAAAGGAAAAAATTCCCTGAAGTAACAGTATTTTATATGTATCAAGACACATACCAGAGAGCTTGACTTCCAGTTTTCTTATTTGTTCATTTCTTCTGAACAACTGGGATGAAAGATCCTCTCTAGAGCTGCTTCCATCAGAAGCCTTGGCAGAAAAAACAACGCTTGTGTAAGTTACAGCACTTAGAAAAAGCGATCCTGCCATAAGATAACTCTGTGATAATAAACATTATCCCACCTAGGAATGATGCTTCAGTTTTGCACATAAAGGGGCAAGCTGTACTAGCACAGCAGAATGTGTAAAAAACGCTGAAGGCTTAAACAGTCAGCTCTGCAACACTGGCCCGCTCTGTGAAATGCAACGCTTTGAAAAGACGCCACAGCTGAACACTATTTGTTCACACTGATTGCTGAGGAGATGGCATAACAGAACAACTGGTGGGGGAAATCAGGTTCTACAGCACAGGATGGGTCAGAGCAAAAGTCTTGTAAAAAACTAAGTAGAAAAGAAACAGGGAACACTCATCACACAGGATAAGCTCGCTTAAGCACTAACATGAAACCCACTGCAAAACTGACTTACGATTCCCTGCAGGCTTTTTATGCTCCATAAAAATCAACATTAAGAGCAGTTAAATGAATATTGCTAAAACAGCTAATTCTTGGAGGTTTTCTGAAAAACCACTCAAGACTTCAGCTGCCACCATTACTTGTTTTCTGTCCTCTAAACTCAGAAGATGCTGAATGAAATTTCTACATTGGAACTTCAGCACAAAAAAAAAAAACAACTCAGAAAGTCACAAACCTAGTATATTGCCATTGTAAAACACATTTGTACGTCAGGAGCTCCAACTGCCTGTTTAACAGAACTGGAATTTCAGCTGAGCTTCCGAAAAAGTGAATTAAAACTCAACAATGTAAGTAACTTCTCCACTCTGCAGCCAGCAAAACAGAGTAAGAAAGCGACTTGCTGCAATACAGCGGGTACTGCTGGCTCCAACAGTGCTGTGACACTGTGTCTTAATCCACGTTTTCAAAAATACGACAGCCATCAAGGGGCAGAGGTGTCAGAGCATTATGGGGCTTCATCTAAGCCATATGTTCCTGGAGTTATACCACAGGATTAAGCAACGCTTTATAACAAGAGTTATAAGTTGGAGGAACTACAACAGTTTTGAGTGTGATAAAATCGCGTACACGTTCTTGGCAGCGTCACCAACAGTATGCTCCAGTGGGAGGAGAACCAGGGAGCCAAGAGAGAAACACGGGTGCACAGCAAGCTGATAACTAACCAGCATCTAACTTGCTTTCCTACTGCTTCAGTAATGAATTTCACAAACAGGTAGCTTAGATGTTACTACAGCTGTATGCAATATTTCAAGCCTCTTTAACGACGTCCTGTATTGAGACGGCCTTACAACTCTTTACACAGGGATAAATGCCTCCTGGTAACTACTGCACTTAACACACTAACATTTTGTCCTCAGTATTTAAGTTTACGCAGGCTAACGACTCATTTATGCATTAAGACCTACAGACGTCACAGGACACGTTCAACTCACAGGCTAGACTCAAAAGGTCTGCGGAGCCCTAACAGAAACGCTGTAAGAGAAATCAAAGCTCGGAGCGAGGCGTCACTTACAAAGTCATCTCCTGAGTCTGCTCCCACGGACGTGATCGACTCCTTACTCACAGACCTGGGGATGCGGGCGGCTCCTCCTGGCCGGGGGGCAATCGCCGCCTCTTCTGCGATCTTCTTCTTCAGCTTGGCGAACATTTTACCGCTCGGTGGCCCCGACAGGTCCAGGTGCTTGGCAAACCCGCTCGCTCCAGCAGGCGCTGGCACTCCGCGTACAGCGTCCGGATGCCGAGAGTTAATTCTGCGCCGTGTTAGCGCATTTCTCGCTCCCTCAAGGCCTTGGCCGCCAAGCAGCACCCGCCAACCAAAGAGGTGCCGGTTCCGCACTGAACGTTTCTACCCGTTTGGAACGCGTGAGCGTAACTAACCGCCTTCTGACAGCCCGCCGGTTAGAACTCGTTAAGGAAAAAGCCACCCAGGGCAAACCCTTACAAACACAACTAGAAAAACCACCAAAACCGGAGCCGTGACG